GCAGTACATAAATTTTTGGAATATTTAACAGACACATATCATGATTTGATTTGTGGCTTGGGTTGCAGGTTCTCTTTCTGTGCATCTTTTGCTTGAAGAATCCCCGCATAGCTGAAGTTCTTGGAGAGCTAAACAATCCTCTTCTGCAAGCATGTCATTCTATAAGGGTTCAGTGCTTGGATGTCAGAGTAAGTGTTGATGACACTCGGAAGATCTGGGGGAGCATGTTACTAAGCTGATAAAACATTTCTTCAGAAATACTCTGTAAGAGGTCAAAAAAAAGGTTTGCAATTGTTAAATCACCATCGATTTTCTAAAAATTTTAAAAGTATTTCAAAATATGAACCTAGTTCTGGATATGAAGTGCAATACATAAAAATTACCTTTTGTGACTGATTTAACTGCATGGCTATGGACAGAGGCTGTTTTTATGGCTCCATCCTTTGAAAACTTATGTTGTTTGTCAACTAATAAGTTTGATTACTAGAAAAAACCCTAGATAGCACTAGTGCAATTAATAACAAAATACCACTAATTTTGCTAAGTCCTACAGAATACAGAATCATTCTCTGCTAATGCTCTTGTTTATGAGCCCTTTGTAATCTATATAACATAAATGTGGGAAAAAGCAGAAAAGATGAGTCAAGTTTGGTTTTGGGGTTAAATAAAAGGTCCCTTGAGTGGTAGATACTGACATCTTTGACAATAAATGAAGTTACTTTATGGCATCCAAACACTTCTCCCCTCAAAAAATAGGAAGCTGTTAGCATTTTATGTTACATTTAGGAGTTAAGGGCAGCATGCTTATCTATATCTGTGAGAAATATTAGAAGAGATTAATTTGGGGAAAGATCTATTCAGATAACCCACATGTGGTACCAGAAATTGCACCGTCCTAGAAATTCCTCCATCCCATGAAGCCATTTCCATCATGAAGCCTAAAATAGAACAATAAACATTGCTTTATCATGAGTCTGGTCTGGATAAACTCAATTTTCATTGTGGGGCTTCATGTCTTAACTTTTTAGGTAGTCATTTGCCTATAGGAAAGGCTAAGCCTAAAGGACAGATAAACTTCCGTAATCCCTAATTTTCCATGCCAGAGAGGTTTAACATAGTTTTGTTAACACACCCTTATGATTTCTCAAGTCCTATTTAGCATTCCATTATTATTATTTAGTATTCATTATTCCATACAATAAAGCTACAACAGGTTATTAAAAGTTAATTAAATATGTGGCTTTTTTTTCTTTTTAAGAAAATAAAAGGCAATACAGACCAAGCTAGAATCAACAAAATATAAATCACATCCAACATCCTTGTATTTCAGGAAAATTGGAGATTTATTTTGTGATTGGAAAAAGATAAATAAAAAATCCTGTTATAAAATATTTGCTTGTTAAACTATTTAACTGAGGCAAGATGACAAGTGTAACTTTTGCATTCTTTCTCTTGGGTTGCAACACTTTCAATATTTGATAGGAAATACAGGTGGCTATTGTTAAATATAAGGTTATGCTCACCTTTGACACACTTAAACACCAGTTCTGCTCTCCTTAAGCACCAGGGTATAGTCATTTCCTAAAAACAGAAACAAAACAAATTGTATATTTTTAACAAAACTTCGTAAAAAAAAAAAAAAAAAAAAAAAACCC